GCCACGCTGAGCGCCTCCCAGTGCCCGGCGCCTCCGACCGCCGACCAGCGTCCTGGGACCGTCCCGCTTGGCGAGGAGGGGGCAGCCCGCGCGAGTTGCCGCTGTCAGCCCGGTCGTGGCCACTGGCCCCGGCCGGGCCACCGTCTGCCCCGGGAACCCCGTGCCAGGCCTCGAAGAGAAGGGCATCCCTCGGGGCTGCCACCGCCAGGGCCGGCCCAAAGCCGAGGTCGAAGAACCCGGGTGCGGGGAAGGAAGCCGGCGGCAGGCGAGGGCGCGCCACTCCACCCTGGCACCTGCCTGCGCGAGCTCGGGCAGGCCTGTCACCGCTCTGAGCCCGGTCGCCTTGTGACATGGGGACGGCCCCTTCCTCCTGCGGCTGGCCTGGGCTTAGCCACGGCCGGCCCAGGGGAAGGCCTGCGCCACGTCCGACTTACGGGCCGGAATTTCAGAACCCGGCAGGCTGGCGCCCTCCCCTAGTATGACAAGTGACGCCGTCCAGGGCTCGTGGTGCCTTCCGAATGCCCCGGCTTGGGGAAGCCCGGCGCGCTGAAGTCCGGAAACGAGGCGACAAGTCGGAGGCACCGCCCCATCCAGCTGTCTGCAGGGCGCCGCGCGGGACAGCAAGGAGCCCCTGGGAAGGGACCGAGAAGCTTCTCGAGGCCCAGGGACACAGGGGTGGCCCCTTCGGAACACGTGGCTGTGCCCTAAGGCCGCTCCCTCTGGAGGTGCCGACGCGAGCCCTGGCCCTCGCCGCCGCGCCCCGCCTTGCGCTGCCCCAGAGCCAGCCTGCGTCCCACGAGTCCCGGCTCAGGACACGACGTCTGTGCGCCCCACACGCCCTTCTTCGCGCCACTTTGCGCCGCACGCCACCCGCTTCGGGCCGGCCGCCGGTCCCTTCTCCAGGCGCCTGTCCACACTGCCGGCTTCGCGCTCCTCCCGGGTCCTCCTCCTTTGCCCCGTGGCCCGCGGGTTCTGACGGGCTATCCAGCCCAGGGCAGCCCGAGGGCACGGATGGCGGTCACCACCTGCGTCCCCCGGACAGGTGTGCCCAGGGAAGAAGGGGCTGGGGAGGCGGGAGCTGCTGACGAGAGGACCCGAACCCGGAGTTCCCGAGAAGGAGGGAGCTTCCTGCTTGTCACGTTAAGAAAAGGGCGTGGGGATCAGGAAGACCCGCGCGGCTCTCTGGGACCTGGGACGAGTCACGTTTCTGAGTCCTGAAGATCGTGGCTCTAAAATGGAGCCCGTGGTCGCAGCCTGCCGAGGTGGAGTCCCGTGGGCAGGGGCGGGAAGGCGAGGGACCCG